TTTCCAATCAGGAAGTTCTGATATAAGCCTGCTCAGTCCTTGACTCCGTCCCTTAGATAAATATTATAGTGCAAAAACTAATTAGGAGTCACCACATAATAATTAAGAGCTAACATTCATTGAGGGATATTCATGGGCAAAGATTGGTGAGGATGACATAGCAAACATCACGTAGGACCGACATCTCAAAGAGCTTCACAGTTATTATAGTGAGCAGTGAGGCGAGGAAAGAGAATTTAAGGGTGTTGATTAAAGAGAGTTTTTTTAAGGCAGGGAGAGAAGGACCAAGGCAAAGGTTTTTTTTGGAGAGCGTTCCAAAAAGGGTATAAAATCTGAATTTTTCTACTGGTTAGGAGAATCAGCCATTGTGTCTGCAATTTTTGCCTTTTCCAATTCACCCTTTTTGCCCCCTTCAATCCTGTATTAGCTCTTAAAAGTATGAAATTCAAGGTTATCAGCATGTAACTGGTAGAAAAATACACCAAATATTGTACAGTATTTGGGAGGGTTTCTTAATTCTGCTTTCAGAGAGCATGGCGTGAAGACTGCTTGTTCATCAGAATCCCTTACAAAGCAACTGACATCTCCCTTTAGCTGACACATCTTATTGCCTCAATGATTAAAGTGTTTTATTTTGATCTCCTTTTCAATTTAAATAAATTCCTAAGGGAAAGATAATCCATTCCGGTCCAGTTTCTTTTTGGATGAGGCGGTGGAGTGAGAGAGAGAGAGAGAAAGCTCAGTCTTGATTTTGATGTAATGTTAAATGAATAAGTGTTTAGACAAAGTCCGCCTGTCTGCACTGACCTCACTAACCTCCAAACAATTTGTGGGAGAAGTTGCTTTCATGCATTAAGTTGCAAGATTCTAATCTCTGTCCACTGTTTCATGCTGAAGATATCCATGAGATGGGCTGATAAATGAGTACAAACCAGCAATGTTTACTCTCTTTGTTCAGGAGATTTGTGAGAAAATTTGTATAATCTATCACCTTTGGTAGTTACAGCTGCTCTGTCCTTGAGATTATAGGGATAATATTTGCTGTGTTTCCTAACCAATTCCCTGTGCTAATTGACACAAGAAATGGGTTAGTAAAGCACTGCAAAATGTTAGCCTGTAGTATTTGACAAACTGTTTTACATCTGTTCTCAGGGCAGGAGAGAGAGAGAGAGTGAAGAGTCGTGTTATTTTATTGCAATGATATAACTTGCAAAGGAGGTGGCCGTGTGTTTCAGTGCGATTTTCAGCTTCACCTTATAATTCGTTTGAGTGACTGTTGCATTGTGTCATCACCTCAGTCAACAGCTGCAGACCAGAAAGGGTAAACTTTCTCTCAGAAACTATGTGATAGAAATAGGAGAAATTTGCCCATCTGGATTCAACAAAGTAAATCACTTGCAAATGTGGTTGGAAATGGCATCTTCAAGGAGCCATCGTCCAATCAATTGGATGAAATTAATAACTTCTCCCTAACTCAAGGGATTGTTCCTCTCTACTCTGAACTCCCAGGATTTTTTTTTACAAAAAGTATAAATCTGTTGCACTGAAGGTGTTATGCACTTTCCCTCCTCAGAGATCAGCAAATTGTTATTTCGAAATGTATATTTTTTTGTTTGAGCAGAAAGAAAAGAACAGGTATCACGTCACCTCAGTTATCCCACCAATGAGCGAGTCTCCCAAGAGCTGTGGTCTGAGCGGTGGAAGAAAGTGTACGTTCTCATAGGTGTATTCACTGTAGCCCCCATCTATTTAGTATTCCTCTGCTCCTATTCCAGGGTAATATAATATAGAATAGACGACATCTGTCTGTGGTAACTTTGTGGCTGATCCAGAGAAAAGATCTCTTTATATTAGGTGACCTGACCGGCTCTTTTGTTAATTTTCCGCCACATTTCAAGAAGCCCTGCTCTACAATATCTCTAATACCTCTTTTGGCTCCTCGCAGCCTCCCCCGCTCCACGAGTCACAAAGTCCAACTGATTCAACACTTGTATTCTCGCCCACATCAAACTCCACATCCCCATCACTTCAGTCCTTACCAGGTTCCACTGGTTCCCTGCCGCAGCACGGATTGACTTCAAGATCCTCGCACTCACCTACATAATCACTTTATTCCCTAGTGCCTCCCTACCTCTCCAACCTGCTCGCACCCCGCTTCTCTACCTACCCCGTTCTGCGTGTACCTTAACTCCTCCACCCCACCATCGACAGCCATACTTTCAGCTACTAGGCTCCGTAACTCCCTGCCTCAATTCCTCCATTTTGCTCCCTCTCTGCCCATCTTCAGATCGCACCTCTTCGCCCATGCCTGTGGTCACCTCCCTTCTCTCCCCGGCTCAGTATCAAACTGCCATCGCTAAGCGTTCTGAGATGCTATACCGAGTGAAGGGCACTATATACATGCAGGTCGTTGTTGGTTGTGTGTGCACACAAGCTGAGGAAATCTAATATCTTCTCAGTGTATTGTAATTGTGTAGGTTGTTTTGCCTGATATACTGGCATTAATGACATATTGCACCAGGGATGGCATCATGTGGATGGTTTTATACTTTTTTGTGGGTATTTTAATTTTAACGAACAAAATCCATGACAATCGGTTGTTTCGTTTTCAGAGCACTCAACATTGATGCAGTTTAAATGCAGTGGGGTGGTGGTGGGGGGTTGGTGGGTAGGAAGTGCAAGGTTAAATAGCGCTGTGCAAACACTCCCGCTGACTGTTTGTCTGAACAGTGGTCGGTCACTGTCAGGCGGCTTGTCTCCTGGGTCTGGGTTTTCATGTAAGAGTTACTGAAATATAATTCTGTAATCAGTTCATGCTCAGAGTTTGAAATCCCTGCTAAATCCATCTGCATAAAGAGGAGTCCCGACAGGACACCGCAGTCTGAGGGCGGAATTAATAATGATAAATAATAATCCTTCCAATAATCCTTATATTTGCTATAGCGCCTTTCACATTGGGAGGACAACAAAATTACATTTATATAATTTTGAGACATCTCAAAGGGCACAGGACTTTACTGTAAAGTATAGTGACTGTGAATTTTGTAGACGAGTGTGGCAGCCAATTTGCACCCAGCAGTGTTCCATAAATAGCCATGAAGTGAATGACCAGTTTTATTTGTGTCTGAGTCCAGCCACCATCATTGGCATTCTGTGGAGTGCATTGTGGCTGAAATCAGATCCCTCTTTGCCAATCTGCATCGTCACCGTGCTGTGTCGTGTTGCTATTGTGTATGGTCATTTGAGAGACAAAGTTGTATTTTTGCATAATAATTAATTATCTAATGGTCCAAGAATGTTAAAAGAATATCTAAAGCTCCTCAAGTGACTCAGTGGCTCAATGCCCCACCTGGTATGGGTATGGAGCCATACAGATCTGAACATTTTAATGTTTGGTCAGCTGGTCACAAGATCAGCTGTGTTAGCTGATCTTGTCAGGGCAGTAAGCGTTCTCCTTATTTTCTTCCCCTGAATATACCCTGACCTATTTCCGTTTTACATCCTGCTGCTTTCCTGCCTCCCTATGAATTGATATGTTAGCTAGGATTCCTGCAGGAAACCCCAGGTACATCAAGGTCTTGCGAGTGGATGTGACGTACGCGAGCTTCCACGGATGAGACGCAGTTTACGTTGAGATGTGGGTATCCACATGGTGCCCTGGTGCCGGTAATGCTACTGCTTTCCTGACTGGAGCCTTTTCAGCTCCTATAAGCGTGTCAGTGCTCAAAGCACTATTCAAAGGATAGAATCTGCTGATTAAAAAGCTGCAGAGGGAGTGGGGGCTGGGAGACAGTCATGAATTACTGCAATGAGTTGACTCCAATTTCTAACAGTGTGATCGCACGATCAGTGAGGGAGACAATAACCCCAAGACTGTAACAGGGACACACAAGCATGATTCGGGTCCTGCTAGAGACCTACAAGTGAGCTCCCACATGGAGAATCGTCTGATCTTTAACAAAGAGACAAAGATTCAGAGAGAAAACTGAGCTGGTACATTGTGTTTGTTTAGCTGAATGGATGCTGTGGCTGAGTGAATGGCAGCTTTCCCAATGCACAATACTATCTCTTCTGTTCACGAGGCTTGGCTTTGGGTATTCAGCAGGTCACGGTTGTTTTCATCAAGTTTGTTCTGAAAGTCCAAAAGAACCATGGGAACAAAGCATCCCGATAACAGTCAAATCTTTCTGCGGCAAGGACGTATAAAGTGATACCATCTGCTGCAGGCAGATTGTGGCTTTGCACAGGGAACAGTGGCCCTGGCAGGGCTGTGCTGAGCTACAAGGCAGAGTCAGGCACATTTTAAACACAGCAAAGAAGAATTTAAAGAATGAATAGTGAAAATGAATAGTGAGCACAAAAGAGGAGACAGCAAGATGACCTAATTGGAGTATTCAAGGCCATGAGACGAACTGACAAAGTTGATGTCTGAAAATCATTCTCTGGAGCAAAGGGTTCAAAGAGCAGGGATGTGGGTTTAACATCAGGAAATTATGATCAAGAAGGGAGGTCAGGCTGATCGTTTTTTCACTTAGACATATTCGATAAGTTACCAGTGACGATCGCTGAAGCAGACAGTATGATTTTGAAGAGGAAAGGTATTGAAGGATCCACTGAGAGCGTAGGTAGCTCATCGAATCATAGACATTTACAACACAGGAGGCATGTAGAGGTCCTCTCCGCTTCTCACTACGCTTTTATATTCTTTTTCATATACCTGTCCAGTTCACTTTTTAAAGCTATTATGGATTATGCTTCACGTACAACTTTGATAAGTATGTAGCGGGAAGGTGGGTGGGTGTGTAGGTGCCGTCTTCTAGATGTCTCCAAGCGCTTCACAGAATAGACTGTAAAGTGAATTGACTGTATATTTGTGGGCGAGGCGCGGCAGCCAATTGCGAACAGCAGTGTCCCACAAACAGTTGTGATTAAAGTGACCAAATTATTATTGTTTTTTTTCTTGAGGGATTATTTATTATTAAGAAAACTTGCCCAAGGTTTCACCCTGCCGGGAATCGAACCCAGGTATCTCGCTTACAAAGCGAGTGCTCTAACCACTGAGCTACAGGACTCCATTTTACAAATGCCAGATAATAAATCCCTTTGTGACTATTTCCACACCCATTCACTCCCATACTCACAAAGCGCTTACGGGATTTACTGTAAAGTGATTTGACTGTGTATTTTGTGGGTGAAACGCGACAGCCATGTCTCACAAATAGCCATGGAGTGAGTGACCACATTTTTTATTTGGGGGATCATTGGTCAAGATATTGGGAGAAACTCCCTTCACTTTTCAAATTCACAAAATTAGTTTGAAGGCCCTTTGGCCCATCTAATCTCCTTAACGATGCCCGTGATGAGTGTTTCCTATTACGTTCACTTTGTAGCTGATACAGTGCAACTCATCATGAAACGAGATAAGTTTTTTTGCATTCGCACACTGCGAATGTGCTGTTGTCCAGCATTTTAATGCATTTTGCAATTCAACCAGAGGCTTTAACCCTGCTTGTATTACTGAGATTGGTCTACCGTCTGCCCTCAGACCCTACTTGAATCTGCGTCCTCTTCCATTTACTCTAAAATTGTCAGGACACCCTAACGAGGCAAAACGATAAATCCCCTTCAAGAACGATAAATCCCCTTCAAGATTCCTATACAGAGAAATGCTTTGGTCATCACCACTTTATGGTGAGTGAAAAATGCCACATGTGGTGTGTTAATTATCACGTCATTGTAAATTCCGCTGTGTCGATGTCTCAGATGGATGCACTTTATCCCCGCATGAACTTTGCTTCAGTCAGTCAACAGAGCGGCAAATCTGTGTCGCAGACATCTCCCTGGAACCTGTCAATACCACACTGTTACTGGCTAATCTTGAAGCACTCCAGGATGCTAACCCAGCGTGAAGGGTGCTATATAAATGCAAGTTGTTGTTGTTGTAAGTGGTGGAGTGTGTGCTTTGGAAACGGGGTGGGGGAAGGAAGAGAGATTATATGAAGGTTTGTCGTTTTGTGCCATCAGACCATCTCTACTCCTAGGTCTAGAGATCAGCTATTTTTTGCACAGGGCTCCATCTCAAGGTCTGTCTGGGAACTAATGACTCCCACCCCCACCAGTAAGTGAGTGTCAGTGAGGGACAGCATGGTGACCTGCGAGCGGGGGAACCTCCCTTTGCGGTGAGCTGTCCGCGAGGCTCTCTTCACTGAGGCCACGCACGGATTTTATTATATAGCGTAATTCTGCTGTGCATTTCTGTGCTTGTTCTCGCCCCCCCCACTAATTATAATAATAATAGTCATAATCCTTTGATCCAGTGCCTTATCATGTGTTCGTGACATCTCAAAGCGCTTCACAGAATAAACGGTAAAGTGAATTGACTGTATATTTTGTGGGCAAACTCTGCTCCTGTATATTTTACTCTTCGCTTACAAAATATACAGCCAGTTCACTTTATTGCATGTTCTGTGAAGCGCTTAACAACTTCCTGAAGACGTGATAAGGCTCTGTATCAGATGCAAGGATTATTATTATTATATTCTCCTCTGCAGCCCTCTCTCTTGTCTGGCTGCTTGGTTAAGCTGCTGATCTGTGAGTTTCTGCTGTCTGCAACCTCTACTTTAACTCTGCCCACCCCCGAGCAATGAACACCACGCATGAGCATGTATCAGCCAGGAGGACTCGAGAAGCCAGCCATTGGATAGCTGTACTCCCACCCTTCACTGCTTTGGCTATGCAGTGAAAGGGTTGTTTCGTTGTCGTAAGTTCACTCTGGACCCAGCAGTCTGACATCTGTAATGTGATGAATGGCCTTGAGCGCTGAGCAGAATCAGGATTTCATATCAACGAAAACAATGCTTCTGTAATCTGAGAAACATAAAAAAGGAAGAATCATGTTGGACAAGTGAGTAAAGCACTGTATATCACTGTCTGAGTTCAGAAGCTAAAAGACTCTTTCATTTCAGAATTAGTTTTGGCGCTGGGTGTATTTCATGCAATGTAGTGTTTAACATAATCCTGTTCACCTAATGCTGGATTGACTGCAGGAGAGGTATTTATTTTCATGATAGTGAACACGTCAAAGAAACCTTGGAAAAGGAAAGGTTAATAACTTCTCAGACCATAAATGCAGGTCAGGTAGCAGTGATCATATTACATGTGAAATGCAGCAGTCTGGTTGATTTATTTCTAAAGCAAGAAAATTGCAGTAATTCATTTATCCGTTATTGCCTAGTATAAACCTCGTTTGGGAATTTTAAAGACCTCATTTTATTTCTCATGGTGTTGGATTTTTTTTAGTGTCTGTGTCACTGGAGTCTCTGGGTGAATTTGTTGTTTTAACACATGGAAATGTTGAAAATAAAATTGAGGTTTTTAAATCATTCATTAACATTACGACCAATCTTATTTTTCGGCTTTTCAGTCTTTTCCTTTGGGAGCTGAGGGGAAATGAAAGCAACATTTCTCTAGTGAACAATATCCATCCATTGATTAGACAACCAGAGGCTCATTCGATTTCCTTCATTGAACCCATCGGGAGATTGGGAGGAGGGATTGAAAAAACTTGATACCTTTAGTGGTTTGTAATTTATTTCCTGCACAAAAATAACATGTACAGCGACTAGATAAAGCACTTATTTTCTGCATGGTCCGGTTTTATAGATTGAATGGAGGCTTCTGTTATAGGAAACAGATTGAACTATTCCAGTTGGTTACTACACAAAAGTGTGTGTGTGTGTTATAAAGTGTGGGGCTGGTAAAGGAATTCATAGCATATGAGGATGCAGAAGCTGTCATTCTAATAATGTATATTTTGTGGCAGAATAGAAATATTCAAACCAGTTTGTTTTAGACTTTTAACGTTGTCTAGGAGCACTAGGTACTGTTTAGTGCAACACTGTACTAAGCTACAGTAGAGTTCTTCATGGTCAGTCTATAGAATAATTGAGAGTTTCTGGAATGCTAGTTTTCATTCACTACTAATGTTCTGGCGATGGGAGAGCAGTCCTCCGTCTGATTAATGAGGCTGTTTGGATAACGGTTGGAGGTGGTGTTGTGCACTGACATTTCTTGCTGAATTTCAGCAATGCGGTAACGATTAGGAGGGAATGTCAGAACTTACTTTGAATAATGTCCGTAACTCTGCTTTGCTCAGTCTGCAGTCACTGCAGCTTCTTGCTAATGTGCTACAGCAATCTGCCGATATGTGTATCCGAGTCTTTTTTCCTTACCCAAAGCAATTCACAAATACATTGCATGGTACCTCCCAAAACAGTCACTGAACTTTACAGTATATATATCATGAAGTGCTTTGGGACATCCTCCCGATGAAAAGGTAATGTACAGAATGTAACCCCTAGCTCCCGTCCAAATCCTTGACTGTCCAACTCCTTGGGACGTCCTCCTGACATGAAAGGTGCTGTACAAATGTAATCTGTTGTTGTTTTGTAAGGATTCTTGTTATTATTATCTGTTCCATTCAGATTGGAAGTGTGATACCAGATTTCTATGGTGAACCTATCTGAACAATACAGTGGCAATTACAATATTGCCTCATGTGGGGCTGTTCTTTATTCACTTTCAACCCAAGGGGGAGAATATGTCATGGTGTCAGCTCCACATGCAATAAGTAGTAGCTGAGACTCCAGTTCTACTCAATGAAGTTTGCAGAGAAGCAATAGCAAAAATCATTGAGTTTCTGATTTCCATTATATTTCTAAGTCCATCCAATAATTTGGACATAACCTATTTTGGTATTTGCTATCACAGAGACAGAGCACCAGCCACTGATGTGGGATGGTTTTTGTGCTAGAGCACTTCCCCACAGTCTGAGGAAACACTTTTGTTCTTCAAGGATTTTTATCGTCCAAATGAATGCCTCGCCAGTACCTCGTGTTCAGTATTGTACCAGGGCCGTAGATTACATCCTGTTTCACTCCTCCTTTGCCTGCTGTAGAGCTTAATTGTGCTCTGGCAAGGGCAGCAACATTGTGCCAAACCTACATAACTTTGCATTCCAGTAACAAGCCCGAAGTAACCAGTGGAATTCTGCAAGGATAAATCACTCATAGCCCCCATATAGGAAGAACGGAGCAACTCACAGAAATTTACAGCACAGAAGGAATCAAAAAATCAATTATGATCCTTCATAGTTTGCTCGACGCGCAGAAAGGTTTGTTTCCAGATTTTACAACCTTAAAACCACCTCGAGAGATTTCTATTTGAGAAACTGCAGCCCTCCAAAAATTTTGGTCACTTGTCACACAACTGTTTGTGGGACACTGCTGTGTGCAAATGACTGCCCTGTTTCACCCACTAAATACACTGTCAATCCACTTTACAGTGTATCCTGCGACGCACGTTGAGACATCTCAATGATGCGATAAGTGCTATATCAAACATAAGGAATATTATTATCATACATATTATAAATGAAACGCTTCACCAGCCTAACCTTAAATGGTGTCTGTAGAAGACCGAAAGCTTTGAAAATCCATTTCATTGAATAACTTTTTAAAATTTAATATGATCTTGAAGTCTGAATTGCTCCTCGTTCATAGAATTCTGACGTGACCACAGTGATTGAATAAATGAGGGTAACGGACAGATGACTGTGCCAAATGGCAGTGAGGGCTACATTTCCCTGGGGCTGCTTTTGGTGGAGCGGAAACACAATACTCTCAAGAAAGCACTGTGTCATCTGAAACTCTGCTTATTAAGATGAAGGTGATTGTTCCGAGCTTGACATTTCCATCCTAATCTTTTACGGAGGCTCGGGTGATTGGATCTGGTTTTGCGATTACAAATTGTGGCAGGGGAGAAAACAGAGAGAGGATCAATACAATAGCACTTCATTCCATTGTTTTCTGAATACACTCGCAAAACATCACTTTGCGCCAGTGTACTTGTGCTATGGAAAGCACGGATATGTTAAAATTGTTAAGTATATTTACTATGTTTATAATTAACTCTTAAGTTAAGTTGATTAATTAGCTTTGACATCCAAGGTTATGACAAAAACAGAGTCACTCCAGTTTACAGTGAATCCTGTTAAGCACTTTGGGACATCCTT